TGGGGGGGGGCGGGCAGGGCCCGGGCCCGGCCCGCGGCGGAGCCCCGGGGAGCGGTGCCCGGCGGCCGGTGCCTCAGGATCTGCCTTTGCCCCTTGGCAGGTGGCGGTGGGGCGGCTCGGCGCGGACACGGACCGCGGTGACTCCCCCAGGCCGGGGGCGGCGGCGGGCGCGGACACCTCAGACCTCATGGAAACTGGGGGCGATGCCAGATCGGCACCTCGGCGGGGAGGCAGAGGAGGAGGAGGAGGCGGCGGCGGCGGCCGTGGCGGGGTTCCAGCGACTGCCGAGCCCGGCGCTCCCCCGGCTGCGGAGACGAACATGAATATGGATGGCCCCGGCGGCGGCGGGGGGAGCGGGGCGGCCGCTGCTGCAATGCCGGGGGCCCCGGGAGCCCCAGCCCCGCCACCCCGCGGGCACTGCTCCAGGGATCCCAAAATGGTCCATCAGCGGTTCCTGCGGCGCAGCGTGGTGGATTCGGACCAGGAGGAACCTGCTTTCGACCTTCCCGAGTCAGAGCATCAGAGGAAGATCATCCTGCTCCCCAAAACCCGGAGGATAATTGCGGAGAGGGCGAAGGCAGGGCACGGGGCCCTGGAGAAGGGCTGCCTGGAGGCTGAGCCTTCTGGGGAGCTGAAGGCAGCGCCGGCCCCGGGCACTGTCGCAGGGGCTGAGGAGCAGAAGGAAACTGAGAAAGATGCGGAGAGGAAAGAGGCGTTGGATGCTTCCAAAGACCAGAGCAAGGCTAAGAAAGAGGAGCCTGAGGAGGAGGCTGATATGAAAGCGGTTGCTACCTCGCTGGATGGCAGGTTCCTAAAGTTTGATATTGAACTCGGGAGGGGATCCTTCAAAACGGTCTATAAGGGCCTGGACACGGAGACGTGGGTGGAAGTTGCATGGTGTGAACTTCAGGTAAGCCGAGCTGATCCTCCTGCGGGTTTTTTCTGCTTTGTAAGCCTAGGAGCTAAGGGCCAACATGCCGGTGTCATCTACAGACGCTCAGCTTTGAGCAGCCTTTATAGTCACCCTCGCTTAGTATCCAGTGTCTAACTATAGCACAATATTCTCATTGGCTCTGCATCTACCACCTTATGTACACTCCTCCCAGGCTTAACCCTCTCGGCCCTGCTGTCTGGCTGCCCACTCCAGCCCTGGTACCACAAGACCTGTCCTATTGCATAAAAGGGTCACGAGTGGCTCGTGCCGAATGCGCAGCGCGTGCCCCAACGGGCGAGATGGAGCTCCTCGCTCCTCCTGCCCCGGCCGCCTCAGCAGCGTGATTTAGCAGGTGTGGAGCAGTGGGTCTATTAAAAAGACACCAAACATAAATGAAGTTGGAGTGTGTTTGCAGGAGTGAACTTTCCTTTTGCTGTGAATATAAATGTGTGATGCTTTTATAAAGATTGAGGATCAGCTCCCCCCTCGCTTGCCCTTTCCCTTGCTTTGAAATGTTGACTCTCACCAGTTTCTTCTGAATCAAACCTCTGAAAGTATCCCAGGCCTTGTCTTTTTTTTTTTTCTAGCACCTAACTGGTGCTTCAGTTAGGTCAAAGAGCTTTCTATCCAAATACCTATTAAAAGGAAGATTTAAAATAAAAGACCTGATTTGAGCTCTAGATCTTTAGAGTGAAGCCATCCAGTAATATCTAAAGAGTGAAGGTTTAGATACTGTTTTTTTCTGGTTTGGAATGTAGCTGTTACCTTTCTCTTTGTGATATTTATATTCTCACTTGTGTAAAAATGATGGTAATATATGCTTTTTTTCCTTTGTGAAGCTTTTAATGTCTGTTACTTACCTCATTTCTGTTGGCATCCATTTGAGAGAGACCTGGCTAAGGAAGAGAAATGAAGGCAGATTTTAATTTTTTTTCTTGAGCTATTACTTAGTCTGAGTTACTCTGTAATTTGGGTGGGAACTAGAAGAATTAACTCTTAGTTATAATTTGGGGGCCTTAAACTTCCACTGGCTGACTGAGCTTTATGGCCTATGAGAGTATTTGAGAATAGCATGTAAGTAATGTGGTGTAATAAGCCTGAGCTCCTGATTGATTGTTTTAATGTTGGCCCAGTCTGGTTGTAAATCACTCCTGGCTTCCTGAGGTAGGTGGGGATGGATGTGCAGCCCCATCCCTATTCCCTAATGATTTCCTACATGATATAATCATAATTTGCTGCAACTCTACTTAATGGGGAGCACTTCTCAGTCTTCCTAACTGTGCGTTCCCCAGGTTTCCTGGTTTTTATTAGCCAGAAAGGTGAAGTATTGAGCCACAGCAGTTGGGCAAGGTAAGGCCTGGAGCGGAGGACCTGAAAGGGTGGTGGTATGGGGTGTAAGCCCTCTCCCCCACCATGGGGGGTGCTGGGGATTGCCAAGGGCTTCATGTGCTGGCAGGGGAAGGTTTGGCTGTAGGAAGAGGCTGATGTTGTCCCACTGTGGGTCCTGGCGGCACAGGCCAGTGTGCTCGCCGCAGAGCTGGCCCACCCAGCAGGAATTCATTGTGTGGCCAAATCTCTTCACTACAATCTAGCAGGGGAGTTGAAATATATCTATTTTCAACATTTTCTGTAGCACAGTTGCTTTAACTGCAAAAGACTGCCAGACGTATTGGGGAACATGGTGCATTGAAACTCCAGGGTTTGGGTCATTCACACCCAAGAAAACGTGGAAGGCAAAATTGCAGTGTGGTGCTTACCTGGTGATCAGTTTGCTTATTCCTAGGTACACTTTTTTAGGAATTCTTGAACTGACTGCATGTGAATAAATAATGGGTAATAATTCCCTAATTCCCACTAGTTCCCATTATATGTGCTTTAGCTTAAATTGGATCTTGCTACTAGTTATCTTCAATTTAATTAAAAATTTGTTAGGCCTCTAATTCTAGAAAGAGAACTCTCTCTATTTTCAAATGCTGTAGAGAAATTGGTGTGAATCTGTAGAGGTAGGCAGGGTTGCTGGTTTTCCCTGGACACTGCTGCTTACCTAAACACTTGGAGGGGATGCCAGAGGCCAGGTAACAGGAGATGGCATGTGAATTTGAAAGCCAGCACTCGGGGTCTAGATTGAGAACGTCTGATTGAATGACAAAAGACTTTAATCGCTTTGGGATGGAAGCCTGTGCTCTCGGGGTGGGTTTGCATGAAGGAGGCAATCAGGAGAAGGTGCGAGTAGCTGTGTGTTTTCCTGGGCTTTTTGGCTTGTACAGTACACTCTTCATTCAGCTGGGGAGTCTTACTGGGAAAACATTCAGAGGGTGCTGTCAAGTAGTCATGTTATTCATGGTATTTTGAACATTTTTATGTAAGCTGTGCCAGTTAGATGTGTCCCCATTTGTCTCTTCCCCTGTAGAAATGTTATGTTCAGATATACATAGCAGCAGAGTGAGTGGAAGCCGTTGTTGCCATGCTCTCCTGGAGAGAAACCGAGTTCCTCTGCAGTCTCACACCACCAGAACCCATCCGAGAGCCTTTTAGCACAAAACTTCCAACAAATTGTCCTTTGTCTTTTCTGGAGATACTCTCGTGCTTGTTACTTTTAGACCCTGAGAGTTGAACACCAGCAGTACTGAGGTTCTCTGCAGCCATTAATCCTCTGTCCTTGCTCAGCGCTTTTTTCACCCGGGTTGTACTGTTGCCTGTGTGTCTGTCTTTTTTTTGTGTGTGTGTGTCTGTACAAAGACCTTGTGAGCCATTCCTGTTCAGTGGCTTTATTTCATTGAAAAGATGGCTTTAGGGTTCAGAACCAAAATCATGGCTTGGTTAGTGCTTGGATCCTGCCCTAATCCAAACTAGATCTGGGTTTTAGACCTGTCGGAGAAGACGTGAAAGCTGTAGTCAAATTCCAGCTAGAAATCAAGTTTATTGTTCCTTCCTGAAACTGAAGTATTAGAGCAGGATTAGCGTGCCCTCACAGTTTGGAAGGGCTTGCATTCTAAGGTTTTCAACAGCTATAATTAATTTTAATTGGTGGCATACAATTGCTGTGTGGTGAGGCTTCAGCATAGCAGTATTTCAGTGTTGCGCTCCTAAGTAAAATGTTAGGTCATGAATAAGGAATATAGGCTTTTGCCAATCTACTGCTGGCAGGCCAAATAATCTTTTTAGTTAGATGAGTGGTTTCAAAATCTCCATCCCATTTCCCTTTGGGAACGCATAGGGAAACTGTGGAAGAGTCAAACCTGGTACTGCTTGCACTCTGAATGGAGTGCTTTGTTCAGTTGTATTTAATTTCAGTTTTCTTTGTTGAAAATGTGGAAAGGATAGATTGTCTTTACCCTGCTGTGCTGTACCCTGTTGGTGAACACCACAGGGAAGCCAGGCTTTTTCCACTGGTTGCCTGAGACTTGTTCTTCACTCTGCATACCATACCAGTGGTTGATGGACATTGGCTTCTTCAGGATACTTGGGCTCCAGGTGCTCTGCATGAGAATGTGTTGGGACTCCTTGATGCTCCCTGGGCTGGAGCTCAGGTTAGGTATCAGATGTTAGAGGTATTTGGGGAGCTATGTCAGAGTGAAGGATGGGCAGAGGTCAATTCTCCTTCCCTGCCCATATAGCTGAAATTAGAAATCAAGGGTATTAGAATAGCTCTGACCGCATTTTCCCAATGGCCACAAAACAGCCACAAATAGACATGCCACTCAAAGCAGGCAATGTCTTACTCCCCACACCTGCAGCTTTTCTGCCAAGCTTCTGGTAGTGTAGTTCTGTAGGGAAAAACTTAATTATCTTTCCAAGATAAGTGTTTTATTTCATAGTTTTATAGCACTTCGTGCTTTTTATGTCATTACCGGGACCAAAGGAAGAGTGTAGAATTGCATTGTATGTCTGAAGTCACTCAGATGTTCAGGAGTTAAAAATTTTTGGACAGCACAGATCTTAGATGAAAATTAAGTTCTAAATGTGGATGCATTTCTGAACATTTCTTTCATTTGATTCCTATGCAGTATTAATATGGAAACAGATAATGTATTTTCTTGATCTCAGTTTTTATTGCTTAAATGAGAAGCTCATCCAGATTGGCTGATAGCTGGCTGATTTTAATATGGCATGAATATTCTAGAAGTACAAGATGAGATTAGACTTTGTTTTAATGTAAGGTGAATAAAAAGGGCATTTAAAATCATTAATGTTGACCTATGTGTATTCACTAATTTTTGTTTTGAAGGCTGATAATCTTTTCTTGAACCAAAATTTCCATTTGGCAAGCAGATGAAGGGAGGGAAAGCATGCAGCTTATTTCTAAATTTGTTACCTTATGTATGAGAAAAGCCTGTGATGTAAATATTTTCTTACATTTTTAAGCTTTATTTTCCATCTTATGTCCACTTAAAAGATCTTTTGTGATAGCTGTTCAAGGCAATACCAAAGGTCCATGGCTCCTGTTTTTGTGTAAGCAGATACATTTGCATGGTTAGAAGTGGGAGCCCATAAAATGGATAATGTTAAAGGAAGCTTGCTTTAGCTGGCAAGTCACTTCTGGCAAAACTAAATTATGTGGAGTTAAATGATGTGGAAGGAGGAGGATGTCCTATGCCTCCAAGAATCCAAAGGATTTCTTTCTGAAAAAGGTGACATCTTCAGGACTTTCACTGCTGTGGCACTTCGGCTTTTGTTGGCTGACAGCATTCGTCTGATGTCAAAATAGTAGCTGGTTACTAGCTATGCTCTTAATTTATTGGAGGGTAAACTTTGTAGTGTAAATGAACAGAATAGTCACAAAATCTGTTTGGGAGAAGAAAGGAGAGACACTGTTTGAAAGCTTGACTCTGATAGTGCTGTGTGCTCAGATTAAATTAACACAGACTAATTTTGTCTGTTTTGAGTTAATTTGTGAGATAGTGACTTCTGTTTAAATCCAAACAATTGGTTTAGCTCTGCTTTGCAGTGTCAATATGAAAACAAGTGCCTGTATC